TTGCATGCAGGCCTCACATTAAGACTCACCATGCACTTCAGCATCAACTCATCCACGTGTCCCAGAGCATTCACATCAAAGGCAAGGATTGGGGAACATGCTACGCTTCAGTCAAAGGCACCACATTGGATCAAAAAAAAGTCAACAAATGGCCAGCAATTGGGCCAGGCCTTTCAACATTGCACTCCCAACCTCAAATCCACACCCCCTGGTTCTATCTTTTTTTCTTTCTTTTCTAATTTTCTTTATATTTTATTTTTTTAAATTTACTTGTGTTTTATTTTCTGATTTAATTAATTTTTACAAAAAATTATAAAAAGCATTAAAAATACAGAAAAGGCAAAAAAAAATATAATTAATTTTGATTCTTTTTTTTAATAAATTAAAATGTAATTCATTTAGTTTAATTAAGTTTTAATTTTAATTTTAATTCTTTTGTCATAATAAAAAATCCAAAAAATGTAGAAATTAGGTTAATTATTAATTTTTTATATCCTTTTTTAATTTTCTCCTTTTTCTCACAATATTATTATTTATTATTTATTTTCCATAAATCAAAATTGTATATAATTTAGTTTAGAATTTAATTAGGTTAGAAATTAAATCTTTTTCATAATAAACTTAAAAAATGATAGAACTAGGATTTTAATTTTAATTAACTTTTCTCTTTTTTCTTTTAAACCTAAAAAACACAAAAACATTATTTTTCGTTTAAATTAAAATTTTAAATTCCTTGATTATTTTTAATTATCTGTTAAAGGGTCCAACGCCCTAATTTTGTTTAAACTCTTTATTTCGCGCTTTTGTTGTATATTGTTTAAATACCTCTGTATATGCCCCAAAGCCATGTAATTGAAAAACTCTCGGACTTTTATTTATTCGCTTTATCTATTTTCAGTCAAATCGGGTTCGGTTTTTTTGGCGATGTGGACCCGCGCCAGTTGTAATAGTTAGATTTATTTTCTCGCGAATATAACTGTTAATAAATATGCATGAAAGAATGAATGCCCGAAAAATAAAATTGAATCGTTAGATCACCAATGCATGACAAGACAAACAATGAACTGAAAATGACACACAATTCGCACACACCACCCCTAGGGTACGCCTCACTGTTGCCTTTCGAAAGGTGGTCATCGAGTAGAAAACGTCTTAGTAAGTCCTCATGGTCCGGGAACCTGGCATGAGGGTAGCTTCTAAGGTGTCTTCCCATTGCTCTGGTGACCACCACGTCCCTAAAACTCGAATTGACCCGAACACCTCCAACGGTGGTGCTACCTACCTCTCAATGGTGGGATGGCACTACTTTAAAGGACATTTACGCAGACGAATTCCTTAGGGTAGGTAGGTTCTCAAGGGTACTTGCTCTAATTTCAAACAAATCAAAATCTTTTCACACCAACACTTTTCAAAAGCTTTCAAAGCAAATTTTTTCAAACACTCTGACGTACGAGTTGAACTGAAACTTTTCAAAGAATATTTTTGAAACCCACAATTGAAAAGCAAGCAAACAATTTTTGAAAACACATTGAGCAAGTACCTAAGAGCCCATGGATAACCATGGATAGAAAGGGTGCTAACACCTTCCCTTTCTATAACCTACCTCCCGAACCGAGAGCAATCTCTTTAAGGAATTTTTCTGTGCTTTTGTCCTTTCCTATTGGAGAAAGTAAAAGACGGTGGCGACTCTTGCTTCCGCGACATTTCGCGAACCAGCGTTAAACAGTCAGTTCCAGATCCACCGATCACAGTGCCACCTCTCAACAAAAGAGCTAATCATACCCCAATTAATGACACTATAACCACACATGGTCAAATATTTCATTCCTATAAGCAGCAACAACTCATCAAACCATGGCTCAACAGGGGGTTTGAGTTTATTGATCTTCCGCTCATGATTAATGACCTTCAACGGATCACGTTTCTGCATACATGGTTTGACAAAATCCATTCAATAAAAACCCATGATAAAAATTTAATAGAAGGAACAATCAAAATTCATACCTCTTTGTCCCATATATGTCTAGCAACATGGTTCGAATACAGAGGCAGCTGAGATAAATCAAACGATTCTCCTCTAAAACTCTGAGATGCCGCAGGTGATGGCTTAGGTGCCTATGATGCAGATTGTGATGTTTGGGGTGGCTTAGGTGCCGGCTCAAGTGCTTGAGATACATGTTGCGATGTTTGGGGTGGCTTAGGTGCCAGCTCGGGTGTCTGAGATGTTTGGGGTGACTTAGGTGTCAGCTCAGGTGCACGAGATGCAGGCTGTGGCTGGCCTTTGGTGTCGGTTGGAAACCAGATGCCTCTCCCCCCTCAAATACCATCGGTGAGGAAGTGCGTCTACGAGAGGACGAAGGCGGGGAGGGATGAACTAGAGAATCCCGCATACTGTGGAAGGACGATGAATTCAGAGTAGAAACATGAACACTAGAGGTAAAGACTGTAGTACGCACATCAGACACAACCTGTCCAGAGGCAGAAGAAGCCTGAGATGTCTGACTCCTTTCCCTCCACACAGAAGCATGCTATGTAAGCCTGTCGTGCCTCAATCTAGATGCTCTCTCAGCCATTACTCCTGTAGAAGTATAAAATAAACGTTAACACAAAGACTACTATTCAAAAATAAGAGAAAAATAGATACAGACTAAAACCGGAAATACATTTTCGATTTTCTTCAATGTTAAAATGAAAATCGAAAATATATTTCCGGTACGACCTGCAACTTCAAAGCTTCGTCAATGGCGAAACAGAGGCACAAATGACTTCAAAATAATGGTCATTGATCATTAAAAAAAAGTTTCAAACATGTTTCTTATGATTCACTAACATTGAAAATACTAAACAACTCACAATTTCTACTCTAAATCACAATATATAGATTAAATTACATAAACTCCAAAAAACTCAAAAACAACTTACAATTGATGATTTTACTTGATCGAATGTGGTTGAACACTTAAGTTAACTGATGTTTGACGATTCCCGATGAGCTTTTTGCGAAGTGATTTGATTTTGTAACAATGAGATTTAAGATGGTTGGGTGTTTTGTGTGTTTGAAAATTTCTCTAAAAGTGGAGGAAAAGCCAACGTACCTTTAAGTCTCAACACGAACAAGAAATATACATCCGATTACAATCATAAATATATTTTCGGTTCCTATATTGGATTGAGCTTGGATTCTAAGGCCACTCAATTATTGTGTGTGTTTGGGTGAAATCGAAAATATATTTATGATTGTATTCAGATGTATATTTCAATTTACATCCAAATTTTTTATACAATATACATAATAAAGTACGCACCAGAAATATATTTTCGATTTTAAAGATATTTTTAAAATTTTGTATACTGAGCTAGAAAATTAAATGATGAAAAATAAATCTCTCCATTTATTTGCGAGCATTAATAACGTAATAGTATTTTCAATCAAACTCTTTTACCCATTCATAGAGAGACCGAAAGTCGAATAAACCATTGATAAACAACTCGAGAAACAAAAAAGCGGTTGAAATTGAAGCAACTACAACTGTTCAGTTCCGTCGCTTGCAGTCGGAAAACGATAGCTCCCATGGCGATGACAGTACACGGTGCGTACTTTCTATTTCAACTTTATACTCTCAATCTATTTCATATTCGTTCTCTTTTCCGCGATTCCCGTTTTTATCACCCAATTAGGGCATAATCACTCTCACTCACATCACCAATTGTCGCAACCGATTTCTCCACATCAAACAGATTAAGCTTAATCTCCCTTATAATTTGTGTTATGATTGTAACAAATTGCAATACATAGGGTTTTGTAGAACTGGACTTAGGATCAAAATATTTCCCCAAAAATAAACTTAGGGTTTTCATTTGTATGTTTGGAGATTATACCGCCGTGACCAAATTTACTATCTATATATTATACTAAGGATTTATGTGTGTTTATAGTTTGCAATTTTTCTTTTAAGCTTTTTCCTCAATGAATTGTGTATTTTTTTTTTTAAAAATTATTTTACTGATTTTGTTTTGTATCTCATGTTGCAACTTGGTGTTATGGGGCTGTTCATGTCATTACAGTGTAAGTTGGAAACTAAACTTCGAGCTTTGTTTCATGATTGCGATTATATAGCAAATTAAGGTGAATTAATGTTTAGCTTTTTTTTTTTTTTTGTGGATGTGTACTAGCATGCCCCCTTACATCAGTATCATAAAATTCCCTAAGGTAGCTCTTGTGTCATAAGCACTTACAGAAGCTGTTTATCCAAACAGGCCCTATATCGGTCTCTCTTCCGGCAAAAAGTTTCGCTGCCACCGTTCAAGAGCTACCTTCGTATTTCCTTCTACTGTGTGCAACGTCTCGTCTTGTACTCCCAGGTTTGTTTCAATGATTTTATCTTGTGGGTTCAATTGTTACTGTTGAGTGGGTTTTCAATTTGATTTGGTATTGCTTTGCACACACCATTCATGATTATTGATATTTCTTTCACTATTGACATTGCTTTCACGATTGAAACCAACAAACCCCCAACATTGGAATTATTGGCAATGCTTTCATACACGCATGGTATTCTTAGATTGAAACAAAGCTAACAAATTTTGTTTATTTGTGTTTCTATTTGTTTTCAATTATTTTATTTTTAACTGTTCTTTGCAAAATTCTGATTTGGCTCGTCTTCACTATTATTGCAATCACTTTGTTATTCCAATTTTGTTTCAACGCTTCAATGATTTTTGTTTCAATGCTTCAATGATTTTTGTTGTTGACTTTGATGTCTCAAAACTTAAACTGATTTTGGTTTTTAAATTTTTTCAAAACTCAACTAAAACTGATTTTGGTTTCTCAAAATTTCAAAAACATAAAACAAAAAATCGCACTGAATGGTTTTGTTTTTTTAGCTTTCTTATCACGGGTTGTTTTTAACCGATGATTCAGTTGAGCCATTGTTTCATTTTCCCCTCTAACCATTTCCGTGCTTCTGCTAGTTGCTAGTTGCTAGTTTTGGAGGTGTGAAATGAAAGTGAGGGTTGTGTGTAGGAAACTTTACGACTACGTACGCTATGATCTCAAAGAAATTGCTTTTCCGTCCTCTTTGCCCAATCCTCCAAACCTTAAAAAGCGCCGCAAATTGACCTGGGAGCAGCGTGTTTGGGTATGCCGTTTTCCATTAATAATAAATGCTTCCTACTTTTATTGCGTCGAGTTAGCCTGTTACCTCACATTTAGTCTTCAGGTTTTGAAAAGAGCTACTAGGCTTTATGCTGCTAGCTGGGTTCGTGACATTGGTCCTGATCTTCGGCCAAATGACTACAAGACGGATGAACCTATTGCTATAAAGAAAACAGCTAAAGATAAAGAACCCTCAATACTCGAGGAACTCGGTACCGTCTCTTTCTCTGGTTTAATTCTGTTATGCCATTTGGGTTCAATAGAATCTTAAAATTAAGATTATTATAATTATAACGTATTAAAGTACAATGATGTTTGTCACTAAATTTTTAAAAGGTTGTTTTTTATGTCTATTTATAGTTTTGTCATAATTATTTAATCAAACCATATATGTCTCACACAAAATCTAATATAGCCAGTGCATTGTTGTCTGACATCAATTGGAAGCAATTAGGAAGATGCTGAGCATCAACTCAAAGATTACCTTCTCTTAGAGGGCCAAAATAATTCTTTGATGAACATGAACAATTAGTCTGATTTTATATTAACTTGTATGTCATGATTTTAAATTGCAGTCTGTATTGCAATTGTTTTTACAATCAAAGGTTTTTGAAGGCTTCAGAAGACGATGACTGCATTAGTCCATAATTTTGCTCAATAACAAAGATCATAATATAACTATAGTAACTTTAATTGTAATTTAAAACCATGGGTGCCACTCCCAGAGCTCAGAGTTAAACTCTCAGTTCTTGCTGTTGAAGCAAAATCTGTTTAGATTTTATTGCTATAATGACTTTTAGGGTTTATAACCTTCCTGTCCTTTATATTTGTTTTTGGTTTTGTAAACATTTTTTCTGGTTACGTTTTCAAATCATTGCTTTGAATTAAGAAGTTTGTGATGGTGATTTTGACCCATCCATTTATATCTTTTAATGGGTAATATACAGCTCTAGCTGCTAGAGGGGGCATGGAGACTCTCAGACCTGCTTTGCAGCGTGTGTATATGACCAGAGCTTCTGTATACAGAGATGCTATGAAGAGTTTTATAGAGGGATATCAAGAGGGTGTTCTGCAAGTAGTGGAGAAAGAAAATTCCAAAACTGAAGAAAATGCTGATGCATCAAAAAAATCAACTTGAATGTCTTCTCCCGCTTAGCCACCTGTCATCTAGAACCAGACTAGAAATTAGTCTATATCTGGAAATTCAAGGGTTTGAATGTACATTGCACTGAGAAAATATAATTTGGATATTCCAAAATAATGCATTTTGGGTGGCTAAATATACTCTGGTAGCACCTGAATTTTGTTTTGCAATTTTTTGTTTTACAAAGTTTGAAGTTGTGTGCTTCTTTATTCAGAGAAATATTAGCATTAGCATAAGTTGATTCCATGCTTCTTTAGCAGCTAATACCAAATGGTATATTTAGGTCTTAGTGTTGTGATTTTGATCTTGTAATCAATGGTTGCTGAGCTTGCTTATTCTATGAAAGTTGAGCTTGGGGGCTTAGAATTTCGTTCTCCCCATATTTCTTCTCATTGATGGATAGTGAAAGAATCACCATAAGAATTCAAATATTCATTCCTCAACTTGTCACAATTGCATTTTTTTCTGTTATCTTATAGATACATGAATGCACCTGAAGTATAGGTTTTCTATATGATTGCTTCTAGACTTGGGTGCATGGTATCTTTGGCTAATGCTAATTAGTGTAGATTGTGCTTTCATTTCTTTTAGTGGGATTCTTTTGGATTTTACAATAATTTCTGATTACACGTGTGCTCAATTATAAGCTTGAGACTGGGGGGTAACACTTCTACAACGGGATGTAATCTTCTGCACATGTATGTGGAAGAAAAATTGGACCATGAGATGCAGGTTGAATAGTTTTAAGTTGAACAGTTTTAGGATGAATAGTTTTAGTTTCATTGTGGAGGTTGAGATAATGTGAAAGATAAGATCAATGAAGGCCCCACATAATATTATTGCCTCCAGCTTTTTGATGTAAAGCCTGCTATATTGGACTTTCCTAATGAAGCATGCACCTACAGTAATTTCTCTAATATATGAGGGAATAGTTTTACTATTTTAGAAAATAGTAATTACTTCAATACATTTTTTAATAGAAAGATGCTTATCCGCTAATGGTTAGGCCTTAGGACATAGATTTCTAGATTCAAAGGGATTCAGGTGATATCAATATGGTGCCTTATTCTTCTGGAAGAAGTTCAGTTCCCAACTGTGTGCCATGTCGTAAAGGAGGCTCATGGTGAGATTCATCCCCCCTCGTTTTTTTGAAAGTATTGTTTAGTGGAGTGAATTAAAGAGATACATACACTCAGATTATTTCTCTTAATTTTTTTTCCTTTTAAGTTATCTGCAGTGTATTAATCATAATAACTGTACCACTCCTGCAGGTAAAGTCTATAATTTCTTTGATTGGCCATTATGTGGAAGCTAATGCTAAACACCACATCTGAGGACCCTCCCACTTGAAGAGCCATTGAGCCACTGAGAGACACTGGACTCCTTCTCTAGCATACCACAATGGGCCTGTTGTGTAAATCTTTATGGGCCCCCAATGATCACATGACACAGTATTTGATTACTCATAAAGGTATTCTGCACTCCTGTCGTTCCTTTGCATAATTATTCTGCACTAACTTGATTGATCCTAAAAGCTTTGATGAAACCACTGTTTAAACACAGTGATCAGTTGAAGCTCTTCTCTCTTCTGGGTCCTCAAACATTGCTGAATTATTCTTTTTTCTTTCGTTGTGAGAGGAGTCAAGGGGAAGGACTTTTAAATTGATAGAAAAATGCTTTAGTAATTCAGTGTGATGAATCATTTGATCAAAAGCACCTCATTGATAAGTCACATCCCCATTTTCTCATTACCTTGTCGTTTATACAAGCATTTGTTTGTACCACATCAAAAATTTCAGTCAGTAAAAATGTACTTTTCCTGAATGATATATATATTATATACCTCACTTTGTACCCACAATTTGGACATTTCTTGTGTGCCCAGAAGCCATATCCCCACTGTGTTGGAGAGATAGGAAGGAATAAAATGAGAAAAAAATTAACTTGCACTGCTTGTACAGAATAATGGACTTAGGGGGGAGGTTCAGTGGTGGAAATCGATCACTCATTCTGCCTTTTGTTTGTCAGCCAACAAGTAAAAGGATAAAATTTATATACACTATTTGAGTGTTATTTTACTGTTATATCATAATAATACAAAAAAAGTAGAGTTTTTTCTGAATAAAAATATTTTCCTTTTCTTTTTTTTCTCCTCCCATTGTCTATTGAAACAGACACCACTAAAAGATTATTCATTGTAAGTAGCCTTGAGTGATATATACTGTGTTACTTGTTTTCTGTTTAAGGATATATTTGTCTCTTTCTTGGTATAATGTCTTACTTTCTTCTTTCCATCTTTGCCTAAACATTTTACCCTAGTCAGTTATATGGTAAACGTTCTTTTTTCCCTTTTATTTCAAAGCGTGCTGTTTGTAGTTTTGCAATAACCTACATCTGCTACAAAAACAGACCATATAAAAACAGGTCTGTCCACAGCAGAGTGGGGGGGACCATGATCTGTTGACATGCTCAAGTTTTTCACTTGATTTTCATCCACATGTTTAAACTCTCTCATGAGAAATGAGAAATGAGCAGAAGATAACCACCCTCTTGTCTTTACACGAATACACATGAAAAAATCAGTAGGTAAAATTTGTATATAGACAAAAATTCAAAACATTGGGTCCCCATAAGCATATACCAAAAGTATCCCCTGTGGTCATACTCATTATCCCAAAACACTTTTTTCTGTAGCTGCAAATCTAATTTACTTGAGGCGGAGATGTGAGTGCAACCTATTTTCTGAGCTGGAAGCATATTGCAGCATGTGGTTTGTGTTGGTTGATTATTGATTATTGTTTATACATATTTTGATTGTGTGATATTTGAAGTCAAAAGTCAAGTCTATCCCCACCCACTCACTTTACCCACCAATGCCAAATAGGAGCACACCATCACTGCACTTGCAACATGTCTTACCTCCTCCCATGTCTATTATGATGAATCCTTGTGAAAAATCTTCAGGCAGAATCCGAACAGTACAAAATTGATTCCTTATTTCTGATTTCCAATGGCCTAAATTCTCCATATAGGCACTGTGATGATGTCACCTAGTTTTCATTACTGGGTCCTACACTACTTTTTCTTTCCATACCTTACCTTACTCTCTCTGCTTGCTTTGCAGGATTTCTTTTCCCACCACTACTCACCCCTACACTCCTATGGTTTACTCATTGCTACTCTTTTGGTGTGAAAGTTTGGTATGAAATTCAGGGATTTAGTTTCTTTACTCCTTCCTAATTTTTCTACTCTTTCTCTTTATGTTTCTACACCATTTATTTCTCTTTCCCTTTTAAGCAGGGTTTGAGGGGGAGGAACCTGACAAGTGGGTTAATTTAGTCAATTCTGGGATGTCCTATCTACCTGTCCCTGTCCTTTATGATTTCTCATTTGTTTGAAAACCTGTTGCAATCCCATATCCACTCACTGTTGATTCCTGCCACTACATTTTTCACTACAGATTAGTAAAAGTTTACCTACACTTTATTCACACCCCTTGAAATGTGGGATTTTGCCCATTCTTAAGTGGTCTCTTTTAAACAATAAACATTTCTAATAAAAAATAATTAGTGTTATTTATATCAGCATAATATAAATTTGTCATACTTTATTTTGACAATTTTTTCTCTCTAAAATAAATTCTATGTTAAAATTTAAATTCTCTAAATTGAGATAATTTGTTGAAAGGTTAATATATGAAAAATAATTTAAGTACAAAATATTTTCATTTTAAATATACGTAAACAACATTGTTGAACGATCAATGTATGAAAAGTATTATGAGTACAAATCATTTTCAATTTAAATATTTGTAAAATTTTTGAAACACTACTCTCTGTTTTAAAATGATTTAAAATAAATGACACAATTGAAAAAATAATAATTATTACTACATTAAAATGTGAAAATAACATTCATTTTAAAATAAATTTTATTTGTTAAAATAACACTTATTTTGAAATGAGGGAGTAGTATTTTAGCTATACAAATATTGTGCATGTATTGATTTTATCTTCAAGTTTTACTAAGTGTTAATCTAATTCTATAAGTACTTTCTCAAGGATGTAGGTTTGCAACTTAATTCATTATAGAAAGAGATATTTAAATTTGTATATGAGAGAACTTTTGTAGTGTACTTATTAATCTCTAACAAAAATTTAAGCACCAAAAACAATTTCTAACGAAGGAACTAATGTAATTAAATTATGATTTTGTATTTGTATTCCTACACTTTTTTCAAAGACTGAACATATTTCACATTTTCTTTCCTTTAGTACGGAGGATCCAATCCCAAAGCACAAAGAGATAAAATTAAAGAGGAAAGATATCCCTGAGATTCAGGAAAACTATGAAGTGTCGGGATACTGAAGAGGGATAAACTACTTGAGAGTGACCTGAAGAGACACTAATTAGAAGGATATTTCTACCACAACTAAAAGCCTAACCTACTTAGTTGACTTCCATTGTCCCATGTTTTGCTTCACGAAAATTTTAGATCTAGTTATATATGTTACCGGAAAAACCACCTTAATTTAAACATAAACTTCATTATGTTTTTATAATTAATGATACTTAATTAATTCTTTTGAGGCCCACACACGTTAATTAAAAGTTCATAATTTGATATCGTCATACTTCATCATACTTTTCCAATTATGAGTTGATTCGTAAGCATATCATGCAAAGTGGGCAAAATAAAAATGAGATTATTTTATTCTATGTATGTAAATTTGGCTCCAAGGTTTGATGAAACTTCAGCTCCATCGCATTTAAACATCACATGACCTAAATTAAACTAGTAACAAAATATATTATTTTATGGTTACAACGCACACATCGTTTTCACACTGTGCCAGCGCCAGGTAATTTGTTATAAATTATAATAGTAATATAATAATGAAAAAGAATCAAATTATAGATGTCTGGCATTCACACCTTAGTATAGTAGAAAGTAATGAATATTTGCTTGATTGATAGGGAACAAGAAAATCTCATGAAACAAGTAAACAAACTATTTCCATTTACATGCATCTCCTGAATTTAAGACAAGAAAGATCCTCTACAATCTTCAACGTGAACCTAAATCTACTTATAATAATAATCATAAACAATTAAGAAACGGTTCCTTTCATGCATCATGTTAATGACATAGTCATTAGTTATACTACTACTAGTACTATTACTAATAATAATAATTAAAATTAATTAAACAAAAGAGAGAATCTAGTTAGGAGAGTGAGCATGTCTTGTAGAAATTGATTAATAATTCTATGGTTGTTGTTGACGTAGCATGTGATGGTGAGTGTTTGACGGTGGTTGACGGTGGAGGTGGTGGTAGAATTGTGATCCTTGTGACATATTATAAGAGCATTCTGCTGCTTCGGAATCACTAATATTATTATCAGGTTGGCATTCCATGTTCACTCCAAACAGCCTCAGCACCCTGGAAGTACTCGAATTGTTTCCACAAGGTGCGTTTGTGTTCTGACTTTGGGACCCTTCGCCTGTCAAATTACAACACGTGCAAATGCCCATACTTTTATTTTCAATAAATAAAACCATAAATAAATAAATGAATACGGAAAATGCATTAAATTTTCTATTGACGAAGACCTAACAAACAAAAGAAACAAAACAAAAACAACGTCCTTCATTGGAAAAACATTTGGTTTTATTTTTACCACGTTAAATACAACAAAAACAACAAACAAAAACAGAAGCGCGTAGGTTTCACGCTTCTAGTGTCCTTATTCCTCCCTGTCCCAAATAACTGGAAGTTGAGTATTTTAAATGAAAAAAAAAACTTTATAGATTTTAATATGCTAAATATGTTAAAAAATAATAATCTTAAATAATGTCCATTTTATTAAGATCGTTAGAGAAGTAAAAACCTGCGGTATGGTATGAGAAAGGGTGATGATGCGTAGGATAAGGATGATGCGCAGGATAGAGCCCTCTGGACCACCCAACAGGAACAACAGCACCATTCCCGTCCGTACTAGCATGGCGGCGCCTCCAAGAGATAAAAAAGCGGTGAGGATGTGTACGGTGTCTGTGAAACAAAACGACGTCGCCGGCATCAAGACGTTTATCTTTCACATAACGACTCCAACCTTTGGTAAGAACGTAACTCTGGCTACTGTTCCAGTACGAATAACGGAACCTCCAACACTTCCCTGACTCGTCGTCGAAACTCAGTAGAAGTCCCTTCGTTTCCTCTGAGTCGAGTGGGAAATATCTCTCCGCGTGTTGCTTCGGTATCACGAGACGGTTCAGCTTCCCAACGTCGCTTGGTGTTAACGGTTTCTCAAACATAGCTTCTTTCTCTTCTTCCAATACCGACACCGACGCGGACACCGACGTTGAAGCCGTTTTCAGTTTCATCATTGACTCTAAAACGACGTCGTCTTCTAACTCACCTTCTTCTTCTTGTTGATGACTCTTCGTCTTCTCTTGTCTTTGTTGTTGATGTTGGTGAGTAGTCCACCATAACGAAGTCGTTTCTTGTATAGACATATTTGTATAGTACGTGAGTGGTTGAAGGTTGTTTGTTTGTGTGTGTTAAGAGTTTGTTATAATACAAGAACGTGAGGAAGAAAGGAGTATATTTATGTGGTTGTGTTGGGTACTATATATATAGTACTTTGTTTCTGTGTTTCTCTTTTATTCTCTAAGTTTATTGTTTTTCTTTTATTCAATCTATACTAAATGAAAGATGGGTTCACCAAAGAACTACACTTGTATTACTTCTAAGTTAGTAATAATTTATTACAGATTATAAAAATGAATTGGACCGAACATATATGTTTATTGACAAATTAATCAGAGATTAACATGTAATAAGGGGCATCTCGTGCTGGTTAATTAGTACTAACCGGCCTATATTATAATAATTTAATACTTTAATATTGTGGTATTTATTTCAGATGAGGTCACAGGGTATACACATATTATGAAACTATGGTTTAATATTTTTGGTTCATTTAGCTAGAAGAGACTATTACTATCTCAACCAAAGGCTCTTCTGTTGCATTTGTGTATGTTTTTTTTTATTTTTAAATTTAATAATATAGTTTGCTCTATGCTAATAAATTCAGGTATGGAGTTAATTTGAGGAACTTGAAGTTTTTGTGTGACCAATTTTAAGAAAAAAACTAACAGAGGCAAAGGGGTGGTCCAGGTTCTCCAATTTGTTTTGTATCTGTACATATGAATGTACATACCATAGTATTATTCATTCAAGTCTCTCCAAGTTTTATTGTATTATCTTCTAGGGACCTGATGAGGGAAGGAATATAATACTATTGATGTTTGTCCGTTCCTATATTTCAAAATAAATTGAGAAGGGTCATTGTTAAAAGTATAGAAGAGTAATGAGATTTGATTTGTCCAATTAGAGAAGAAAAATGGTCCTATTGTTTTGAGTAAGGTATATTTAATAGTTAGGGTTATGTCTTTTGTATGAGTTGGATACAAGAAAAACTCACCTCAGTAAGTTTCCAGGTAGATTCATTTTGACACCCTTTCATGTCCGCAAAAGGTTGAACTCGTTTGTTTTAGTCTAAGTACATGTTGGAGACACGGGCATAATTATAGAGGTTGTTGGCCTTTTTTATTTCCATGCTCTAATACAAACAACTCTCTTTTGTAGTATAATTTAAATATAATTTAGTCCCTTGAACATGGTTTTATACATGATCTCTAACCAATGTGGATGTGAATAGGTTAAACAGAGTCGATTTTGCTCTCAATTTTAAAAAAATAAATAAATCTAAATATGACATTTTACTCTTTTTTTTTAATAAGGCTTTCATTAAAAGAAAAAGATGATACATAAAAAACGGAGATTCAAATCACTCCATCAAAAAGAAGAGAATCTAAAAAAAGTATATTTAATTTATTCTTTACAAAATCACTCCGAATTCTAATAGGAATGGAGTAAAAAATTATTCTAGAATTGGTGTTGAGACGTATATTTGTAAAAAAAAGTCTGTGTACAAGTTTCCTTCCCTATAGATATGCGTAATGAATAAATTAGATAAGTTAGATGGATGTGTGCTGAAAAACAACCCGTTTCTAAGTTCTCTGAGACTAAATTGGGGTTGAAGAAGACTTTGACAACCAGAGCACAGTCTATTTCAATCTAAAACTTACGCCAACCACACTCAGGCGCTAAACCGATATTAGCAATCACTGCTGAAAATTCAACAACTAAGGCAGAGGCAGAAAAAACCTTTTCTACAAAAGCTAAAAGAAAGTCATCATGCTCATTTCTGAATATACCGCCACAACCACTTGCATTGATGTCTAGATCGTACGCTCAGTCACAGTTACACCTGAGCCAACCCAAGGCCGGAGTGAGCGAGAGAACTTTTTTGTTGTTGGAAACCCTTGAAGGTCGAACTGTCACACCAAAAACCTTAATAAGCGTAAAGTCAAAAGTAGAGATCACTGAGGAGTTTGTAGTGTTATTTACGACCAACTGAGTTTGAGAAGATATCCAATTGATAGCATTTATAAATTTGGCTTGAGGTTTTCATGCTTCAGTTTATTCCTAGCAGTTCAGATATGGTTGGGGATGAAGATAAGAGATACTTTCATAATCACACCAGCTTGAGATGAACGACTAGTGTTGCATAAATTATTCTAATCTGGTAACGATTTAGGGATGAACGATTAATGAAGCTTCCTTTTAATTCACTGCCATAGAGAAATAGCAAATCTGCAATGAAAGAATATATGAGAAGTTGTCTCAATATCAGAATAACAAAGGCCACACATCGAGGTCAATGGATCACCTCTTGACATAATCAGGTTATCTGTGAGAATCTTATCATGTATTAATCTCTAAGCCATCATTAAGTTGCTAGGTAGAATGACACCACACCAAATGAGGTTCTCCCATAGAGATTTAGGACGAATACCATCTTTGAAGGCATAACTATCTTTGGAAGAAAGATCTCCAAAGATACTATACTTCTAAACAAGAGTGTCCTTAAGATTATTCTATAGAAAGATACAACTAGGAATTCTATTAGGCAAAAAAGGAAACGACAAAGACCATCCAGGAGGGAAATTCCACTGACCCTCAGAGAAGAAAAACAAAACATGAGATTTGACATTTAGACCCTAAGAATGAAGGGAGTCCAAACAAGTGAGCTGAATAAGAGGATCACCCGCCCAAACATCAGTCTAGAGTTTGATGTCCTTATCTGAATCGATAGACCAACAAGAATTACCGCGAAAGATATCGAATTCAAAATTGATTCCAGTCCAAATGGTTGAGAAAATATAATACCTAATCAGACCCCTGCTATAGAAAATTCTCGTCTTGAGAAGAGTAGTCCAAGATTATTGATTGGAGCAACTTCCACATCAACTTGAGATTAGTAGCCCCATTTAATCTAACAAGGGACTACAGACAAAGACCACCATTTTGGAATGGATTGTAGGTTTTTTTTCTAGGCAACCATTCACATCTTCCTATTATGAATGCTATTAGACCAGAGAAAGTTCCTACAAGCTTTTTTCACAGTACCAAAGATATCGACCAGAAGTAAATAGACATAGTATAATATAGCAATACCCTAAATTATAAACTTGAGAAAGATTAGTCTCCCAACCATAAATAATAAAGAACAGAGCAGATAATTTATCTAAAATTCTATTAGAGATATGACATTTTACTTATTAAAAACTTTATTATAAATTTGACTTATCTTTGTAAAAGTCAGACATGTCTTATTAGCCTGTTTAAAACTAATAAAAATAGCATTCAAACCACTCTTAAAAAGATTTAAAAAAATCAAACATTGATTTTGTAGTAAAACTTAATTTTATTAAAAAATAATTTTCTAATTATTATTTTATTATTTTAATTTATTAAATGCATATATGTCCACCTAATAAGTATAACAATTTTTTTCTAGAGAATTTTATTTTGACTTATATAAATTAGTTTGCTTTTTAAAGCTAAGTATAATTTAAAAAAAAATTTAAATCTGATTTTTTATTAAATGAGTCACGTGGGCCCGAACCTTAAATACGCAAGATCTTAGGTCTATGTTTCTTAACAATGTGCATGTAAGATCATCTTTTGAGAAAAATCACCCCTTTAAATAGTTATAACTAAATTAAAATTTTGATCATCCTATTTTATTTTAGTTACGAAATAAATTTCCATTTTTTTTAATCAGTTTTGGTCACCTTTTTTATTTTCCATAAAAAAAATAATGACATGTGTTGGGGCGATAAAGTGGCAAGCAACAAAAGTTTTGGAAATATTTATCCGGGAATTTATCATGTCCACAAAGATTGATTATTGATTTCGTCGTTCGATAATTTTTTTTTAATGAGTTTGGAATTGAACGGGTTGACAGAAAATGTATTAACAGAAAATAAATGTATAAAAAAGAAAAAATGAATAACTTATCAAGCATGCATATATACTGCTTCTCACAGACTTAAACCTATCGATCTGTTATACTAAACCTACAATATTCATCAATGTCACTATGTATCACTCACAACCTAAGTCATTTCTAACCCAAATTGAGAGGCCGACTACATTATCTCGGTAGCAATCTCTCAACCACCTCAACAACACAGAAGTCAATTGTGTTCGTCTGTATCGACGATTTCTTAGAGCGAAACAAACAACACAGAGGCATTAAGCTCTGATACCTAAGTAAATGTTAACTCTAAATCTATCTCTAGAGTTCAGAAACTAATAGGTAATCATCTTAGATAAGAATCTAAGTAGTATATGTCTATAACAACTCAAATCCCTAACATAGAGTAAAAATCCAGGACAACAATCCACAAAGATTCGTAAAGCAAGTTTTATATAACGCCAAGGGCGACAAATATACATACAAACCCAACCAATAGAAAATACACAAAGAGGAAGAGAAATGAATAAAAAATCTACCATTTTGTCAGTGCCGATCGAAGAGCAATTCACCCCAGATCATCCGTATGCAAGCTCAATAATTGTTATCTAAGCTAATCCTAACAAAATTTACAAGTTGATGGAGTTGGGAGAAATTTTTTTCCCAAAACCATACCTAAAAATGAATGAAATCTATTTTTATAAAACAAAACTCAGCAGATCGGGCTAAGAGGCTTAAGCGCCTAAGCAGGACTTCATTAAATTACACATCAAACCGACCTAAATTACGCTAAGCGCGCTATCCACACTAAACAGGCTTCAAAACATTGGTTCTGCCAAATCGTCAAACGCACGCAGCGCGCTACAAAATGCACTGAGCGCTACTCGCGCTTAGCAGCCTCTGTGTGCTAAGCAAGCTCTCCTGGACAGAATGTCTCAAAAATGGTCTTTTATTCCGAAAATACGCATCCGGAGCCGTGCCTTCGACACCTTATTCCCCAATGCTCCAAAATGCAACAAATACCTTCAAAATGAATGGAAAAACATCAAACGGTACACTATGTCCACAAAAACACAAATAAATACAAACTAAATGTATTTATATAAAAGCCGGGGTTATTCAACG